GTGCTTAATAACTTTGTAGGCAGGTTTTTTGTGACTCTTCGTTGAGAAGCTGTGCGGGTGAGGTGCTCATTACAATGCACTGGTCAGTTGTCTATTTAATTCTCAAACATATTTTTGTACAGGCAAGAGGGAAAAAGAGGCAGAAAGGATGGTTTCCTGCTAACCATGTTAAATTGTTGGGTCCAAGCAGTGAGAGAACTACTCCTGCTGCTCTCTCAGGTAGGAAAATAATCTCATTTATATTTAACTTGGAATAATGTTATGTAACTCTTTCCTTTACTCTAAGTAACAGTCTGTGTATAGTGTAATAGTCTGATTAATTGCTACCTATTACCCTTGTGATGCAGTCAGTATTGGGGATCATTGTACCAGGCTCTGAACAAACGCAGGAGAGGGCAGTCTCTGTCCCAAGGAACATACAGTCTAACAAACTACTTCTTCATTAAAACAGTGCTGTCTGTGGCTCCTGTCCTGGAATGTGCCGTCTTATGTTATGGCTTATTGCACTGAGAATACACCCTTTGTTTCTGTCCTACAGCGGAACGACTGTGTCCAAAAATCTGTAAGGTTCACCTAATGCCGTGAAGTTTTCAGCCTTGCTGACTAGTGAAAGTAGACTGCAATCTTGCACATCCTGATTTATGCCTAGAGTTCATATCCCGCTTTCTGAGGAGCCTGCTTCCACATGGCAGCAAGACTTCTGGGAACTTTGCTGTTATTGACAATACCCCTACAACTGTGCGCTATTCTTCTAAGGGTGGGCAGATGCAGCCTTGACTCCACATGGATTTTTGATTGGCTATGTAGGTCTTGATGAGAACAGCTTTCCCTGGTTCCACTTCCTCAAAGTGTGCAAATTCCCTACCTTCTGCTGTATTGGTACAAGAGCTCCACAGGCATCCATGATCAAAACCTCTCTCTGAGACTTAGCTTTCAATACATTCTTTGTACACACAGACCTTTTTCTCACACACAGATATCCACTATAAACTAATTAATCCGTTTCTCTGACAGGCTGGGCAGAAAGGAGGAGAAAGATGTTCCACTTATTTTTACGTTTGAATATTTGGAAGGTGAACAGGTGCTGTGGTGATGGGAACCATCTAACTATCCAAGTAGATGGAATTGTAAAGTTGGGAACTAGAGAGAGAAATTGAACAAAGTTAATTTAATCTATCACTGACCAGAGTATTAATAAAAGGGGAAGTCAGGGCAGTCAAACTGTACTCCCACATCAAGATAAAATTTTCTGGGGTATTTTTTGTTTGTTTGTCCTTGAAATTGGTTTTAGTCTTATAGATATTTTCTGTGGGCTTTATGCAGTCTTAACACTGACTTATCTTATACTAGAAGTTGTGCTAACCCCTGTTGTGAATATTCTTTTTCTTCCTAGTATGTCAAGTGATAGCAATGTATGATTATGCGGCAAACAATGAAGATGAGCTCAGTTTCTCCAAGGGGCAGATCATTAATGTACTGAGCAAAGATGATGCAGATTGGTGGCAAGGAGAAATCAGTGGTGTGACAGGTCTCTTTCCTTCCAACTATGTGAAGATGACCACAGACTCTGACCCAAGCCAACAGTGTAAGAAATAATTTTTGAAAGCATTTTGCATTGCATTTCTAAGATTTAACAGTCAATTGTTGTAGTTAGAACTATTTTGTGCTTAGAACTAAGAGCCCTAGGACTTCTAATGGGTGCGTAAGTACATCATAACTTCACTCTCTTCCACTTGACAAATCTACACACAAATATTGTCGCTCCATTTTCCAGCCAAGGTTTAGTAGCAGCAGTGCTGCTGTGAGGCCCCTAAATAAACATTACACCTGTGATGCATTAACCTTGCTTTTAAATTGTTCACAGTATATGGTAATTTGCAATGAGTCTCTGTCAGTGCAAATGTACTTGTTCTACTGTGTTTTATTATTTTTCTTTCTTTGGATTTCTACAAAATATGAAAAACACCTATCATAAGACTTTAGGCAGCTTTGGAATACATTAGAAGTACATACCAACTTAAAAAAAATAAACATAAGCGCAGCAGCTTCCCCAAACTATAAAAAGGAAAGAAAAAGATCCCCACCTTAACCAGTGAATCCCAGCCTACAATCTATCCATCCCAATCCTCAAATCATTCCTGCTTCTTCAAAATTCTCAGAAAGAGATGGGCTTTGCAACATGTCCTCAAGATCAACAAATGTGGATTATTTGGGGGCAAGCTGGAGACTGAATTCTAGCACAGATTTGTGTAGTTAAAGTGAAGGATACATATTATGTTCTCTTTCTAACATACAAGCACTGTAAAAGTTCTGTCTTTGGCCTCTCATTCCAATGCTAGGTCACTACAATTTTCACTCCCTCAGCCTTTCATCCTGGGTCAGGGACAGCAACCAACTCGACTAGCCATTAGCAGCACAAGCACTCCCTCTACGTCTTGCAAGCTCTGCTGTTTCTCTGCCAGTTAGCTATTGTTATACTCCCAACCATTAAGCCCTCCAAGTATCTCTGAGGAATGTGCAGGTCCTGCTCCACTGGACACTCTGTGTTCACAAATTCACTGCTTCTGAGGAAACCACAAACTCCAGCTCATCAGTTCCACCTCAGATCACTCCTCCACTGAACACATAGCACTTATATGTGATTTCACTATAAACATATCTAAGTGTATTTAACAAAGCCTAAAAATTCAAGTAATAGCAACTAGAAGTATTGAAAACAAATGGTTATGTGTAAAACAAAATCATAACGTGCATTCTAGAGCCTAGACTTAATTAACAAGATACTCTCATGTCTTGTAGAGTATTGCTCACCCAAAATTCTTGCCGCATTTACGGCCAGGGTGGGCTGTGGCCCTCCTTTCATGAGACAGACACTCTGTCAGCTTGCCTCCTAGGCAAAGGACCTTGTTTGTTTCCTTGTGCCCCCAGATATATCCTTACAATCTTGTGGTTAGTCATAAACAGGACACCCCAGGCTGTTTGTTTCATTCTGTGAATTTCCTTGCTCGTAGATTTTGCAGTCTCTTCTTTTTCCTTTGGCGCAGTATGCGAATAGGCCTACAGCGTGAGGCATACAATATACAAATGACAAGACAGCGAGACAGGTATCTGCTGCCTCCTACCTGAAAGGAACATTTCTGAAGTATGCCACCTCTTGGTGACCTGCCTTAATTCCAATACCTTAAGAACATAATTTCCCATATTGATACATAACTCCTTAAATATTATCTGTACGTACATTTCGGAATGATTATGATGACCAGTGGGCTACTGGCTCTTGCTATTGACTTTGCATGCCACACTTTGGAGAACTGTTATGCAGATATCTGACCAAGAGGATCTCTAAAACTCTATGCACCCCTCCGGGCCACTTGCTAGTTGGCACCAGAAGGTCCTACATCACAGGTTTTAATTTCTCTTTTACATAACGGGCCCTAGCTCTTCGGTTAATTCCATTCTTCTCTTGATCGGGCAGCAGCTGTTGCTGTAAAATGGCAAAAGTAAAGTAAGCTTTCCCCTCTGGTGTTGCAAATGCTACCATTTGTAGTTGTCCCAGCATAGAAAAAGCATTTAGAATTCAGAGTGG